CGCCTAAAAACACACAACAACAACAAAATCCCTTACCAACACTACAGAGTTAGCCTACAGTGTAAAATTTTAAAATTATAGATTCTATATCTAGCCTAGATTCTAGCTCTAGAAGAAATGTTTGCGGGCACAATATAATATTATATGCACTTACCTGCACGCCACATAATTCAAGCATAGACTGAACCTCTTCATCATTGGGTCCTATGTGTCGAGTAGCAAAGTCTTCATGTTTAGGAAAAAGACGATCAAGTGTTGTGTTCGCCAAAGATCTTGAAGTGGTGAATTCAAGGTTCTGAGTTGCATTTACATCGCCAAGGCATTTCTTCAACAATGCCGATTTATTTGAGTTCAAAACCAACCTGTTGCTGCGTTGAGCAGAAAAAGTGAATGCTCTCACCAACTGGCCCGAGCGATACATTTCCTCAGAAAGCTTTGTTTGTTTAAAAAAAACCACACACACTTTACGGGTTCCTTCACAACAGTTATCCTTAGATCTACAACACCAACACACAATCCTCTATCTCTCTCGACCCTACTATCTCCTAGTTCCTTCTCTCAGTACAGCGCGTAAGCGAAATGCTACACTCAGCTGAAGCAAGTTGTTTTGAGGAAACGACTTCGTCCAATCAAAACGCTCGTACGAGCCCAACCCCCAGCAGCTATCCCAGGATGGACTTGTCGGCCATGTAGGGAAAGAAAATGAATATTCATATTTTGTGACCTCGGCGAAAGCGAGGCGAATCAATGGTTCGTGTCATAGAATTACACGACGAAGCAGCATGACGGCCATTCTGGCAGGAATGATCCAACATTTTATTTTGACTTTGGCTCACACAAAACTAGACCAAATCAAAGTTACATTGGAAACGAAATAAATTTCTAGCATGCGAAGAAACAATTTAGAGCCTTTCAATCAAAGAGTTTATATACATCTAGATTCTGTATCGAAACTACTCTATCTGGCGTCTGGCACCTCTCCTTGACAATCACCTGTACAAGTTTTACGACCGCTTCCCAACTCCCAGCTCTTGCGCTTTTTACTATTTATAATGATTATGACACTGTCCAAGATCGGGTGTCTTTGGAACAGTGCGTTGTGGGAAGAAAATCGATGGGCTGCTTTTGAAGGGAGTAGATCTAGATCTACATGTATCTTAATAATATTTGTGCTTTTGACAGGCAACATTATTCATTATGTGCATGCCATATTTATTTATTTATTTTATTTTTTATTATTTATTTATTGATTTGCCTAAGATAACCTATCATATTCTCCTCGACTAATAGGTGACCCTCTTGGACAATTTCGACTGCAATAATATGTCATTATTAGTGTTAGGCCTACATAACTTCTTTGCTTTCAAACCATGGACAGCACATCAAATGCCTAATTTAAATGGTGATAAAAACCAACTTTACAACTTTTCGGGTAAATATTTCCCTCCCCACTGAAGCTTTGTATTTCAAATTTGGACACAATATTTGGCAGCCAAAAGGAATTACATGTATTAGATCTAGCCTACTTATAAAGTGTGTTCCCTGGATCAAACCTCAACCAGGGGACGGCTTATCTTCGCTGAGACTTGGGGTCACGGGAGGTCATCAGATCATGTGTTTTTATCGGTCAGCAAAACTGCTTTTTTTCGTTTCGCACACTAGGGTTGGAGGAGTAGGCCTTCGATCGGTGTGGATATTAACATAACTGATT